GAGGCAAACATTTAGAAAACATATGTGCACATACAAAAATGGAAAAAATTTGAAAATTGATCAAAATAGAATTTTTGGAAAATTTTCAAATTTGGAAAAAACAGGAAGAAAAGCACACACAGGAATTGAAACTTTTCAGTTAAGCTCATTTTAGAATTTTTGATTTTACTAAAATTTGAAATTGTTTTACAGGGTTATATGTGCACAGATGTTCTAAAATTTTACTTGGTTTCAGTTTTTTAAAAATGTTGAAAATTTGATGATTTTAAATTCAAAAACTAAAATCATTTTTTGCAAATTTTGTATGATTTTTAAAAATATTTTTACCTTTTTTATTGTATATCAATCAATTTTGAAGATTTTTTAACATTTCAACAAAAGAGATTTAGGAAACATCATTGCACTTGCAAAATTTGAAAAAATTTGAAAATTAGGTCATAATTACATTTTTGACAAATTTTCAAACTTGGCAAAATGGGAAGAAAATCATGTATGGGAAATCAAACTTTTTGGTTTAGCTCATTGTAACTTTTGAGATTTTGATGAAATTTTAAAAAAAATTTCAGGTTTCTATGCACACATATGTTTTATGATTTTTCAATTTTTTGTATTTGACAAATGTTGAAAATTGACTGAGATAAAATTCAAAACATAAAATATTTTTTCCAGATTTTCATAGAATTTTTAAAAAAGATTTTGCATTTTTCATTTTATTTCAGTCAATTTTCAAGTTTTTTCAAAACTATAAATTAGGAAATGTGGAAAACACCATGGTGCTGTTGATAAAGTTTTAAAAAGTAAGTTTTTTTGAGAATTGCGTTTTTGCTAAATTCTAAAAGTTGTCAAAATGGGAAACGGAATTTTACAAAAATGTCCGTTTTTTCAGTTTAGCTCATAATAACTTTTGTTTGATTAGTCAAATGGAACTCATATTTTGGGGGTGAATGCACTTGGATGTTCTTTGAATTTACACATTTTTTTGATTGAGCAAATTTCAAAACTTGAAAAGTTAAAATTAAAAATGTAAAAGTATTTTTTCCTGATTTATCCCTGTTTTAGAAAAATGTTTTGCACTTTTCAATGTAACTTGATGAATTTTTAAGCTTTTTCAAACTTTAACAAAAGGAAATGTAGAAAACATTATGGAGCTTGTGATAAAGCTATGAAATTCAATTTTGATCAATTATTCAATTTTTGACAAATTTTGAAAGTCCCTACTGCGGGAAACGGGACCCTCCTGCAGGCCTCTCTGGGGGCTCTGTGGGAGAGAGGTAGGGGGCAACTGGGAAGGGAAGAGTGCGAACCTGACACACTGACACTCATAACTTCAATTAAGGACAAGTGGAGAAGAGGACTTTTATTAAATATGTGATTCCATATAGTTTTTGAAACATGTTCTACTTTTCCCTCCGACGAGGACTTGATGATTTCATCACTTGGTTTAAAAAAATATTATTTCAGAAGAGCGACATGAAAGAAGAACTAAGAGCGAGAGCAGCTTCAATGATTCTCGAAGGGACGCTGAAAACTGTCGTGTTTCCAATGACTATCAGCAATTCCCCACCATGACGACCGCAACTTCCTCAACCACCAAGGTTAAACGCAACAAATTAACTCGGAAATCGAAGAAACCTATACAACCCTGTGACATCAGCACCCCCTTCAACTTCCAACAAGTTTGGAGAATCGAAAGCGACGATCTCAAGCCGCGATCGCGGCGAAACTTGCCGAATTGCGATCCGAAATCCGCCGAAGATGAAATTCAAGATCCGACGAATGAAGCTTTGCAGTCCGACTTTTCCGGGCCACGTGCTGCAGTTGGAAACCCCGTTGAGGACTCTGATTCGAGTGATTTGAGTGATAAATTGAATTCAGGAGATGCAACAGTTGAAATGTTAGCCAATTATCCTCGAAGACTTAATCCACGCACTGTTTCTTTGTCAATAAGCGCCGTTAAGGAAGATACCAGCTGTAATTTCAGTATAAATCCGTGCAGATATTCAAGCAATACTTGAATTGAACTTGATGGTACAGTATTACTAACATTTGTATAATTTAGTACAGTACATTTTCAAACAAGTTCCATCTCGGACATCACTTAATGTTCATGATATAAGCTCTCGCTCGGCTATTTAAACTTCATATAGAGAACACCCAAGCGTGTTGTAAACAAATTTTTCTCGAATTATTTGAGCTCTGATTTAAACAGACTAAATATTTTGCCGACTCAAAAGCTGCATGCTCAAATGGTATTGATGAATAACGTAAGAGTGCTTCAGAATAATTTTGAGCTTATATTATTACAGTACTGTATATGATTATATCGAGAATAAGAGTCAACGGTGGGTGCTGTTTCGATACCCTTCTGCGGATAGATGAATAGATCAATCAGCCCAATGCGCATAAATTGTAGAAAAAATATTATTCCTGTTGGACCTTCGTGAGGCTCCGTTCGTCAACTGTAGCAGATGGGGTTTTTTTTTCAATTTATAATTTTATGTTATTGTATACATTATCTTCGTTGAAGTGCTGATATGTTTCTGCATTGTGATGATGAACCACAGCATATTTTCATTTACGCACATGCAGTATACAGTAAAGTTTTTGTTTCAAGGATTGCGTTGAACTGAGAGTTAAAGTGAATTTGGTGCGTTCATAGCTTATTTTGCTGGCGAAAATAGCGTTTAGATGTGTTATTCAGAGCCTACCAGCAGAGGCGATTAAAAATCTCATTGGGGCTTCGATAGTTCGCATCTGGATCATGATACGAATAAGAATGAATTCCAAACCTTTTTGGGACCGGAAGTGCATTTGAAGAAAAGAAAGCAGTGCTCCTATCCGTGCGCATGCCGATGCGTCTGCACTATCTCATCCTGAGTGCTGTGTAAAAGACCACCATCACCCGTACTTTTGTGGCACTCTATAGTTTTCATATATGATTATATACAGTAGCTTGATCATTTTTCAAATACCGTACTCAATCTGAGGGCACATGCAAGTTTTTTAGGGAAATACAGTACAGTGTAGTTTGTTCTGGTTATCACCTCCCAGCTTATGTCCCGAATTTTACTGAAGTAAAGTAATGTTCATTACTACGCTTTTTTTGGGTACACTTCAATACTGCCCCCCAACTTAACCGTACAGCGCACAGCCAGGTGCGGCGAATGCCCGCGGTATCCTCACCGCAAGTCTACATGCGTCATACAGGTGTCGCTACCAGAAAACCTATAGAAAACGGCACACGGAATTAAAAATAATTTTAAAAAATGAGTGAGACTCCCAGATGCGGACATAATCAGTGTATCTTTTCAAACCAATAAGAACATTTGGAACATTGAATAGTGCATAGAATAGAATAGAATTAAGCCTTATAAAAATCGATTTTTATCCTGTAATGTCCCCAAGTTGAGTCAGTGTCCTCATGTTGGGTCTTTTTTAAGATTTTTTTCTTTAAAAATAAATGTCCCCATGTCAAGGCGTCTGCATGTGGGGGTCTCACTTTATTTATTTATATTGAGAAAATACTACAGTTTTGATGCAATTGGTAACCATGAAGTTGCCACAAATTACTACAGGAAGTCCTCTAGTCCTGCTAAAATGATATTTTAAATGCCTTTGAGGTAAGCCTATTCAAAGGTTATCTTATGAATTAAAAAGAAGATCTATAATGACGGGGAACAGAAACTCGATCACAGAAGTTTTTTGAAAGCTTTCATAGTTCTTAATTGGAACAAAGCTTCGATTCGATGTTCACCTGAGAATTAGAGGTTGACGTCTAAATAAATCCCTCCAACAAAGAGCCTTCAAAAAACACTTCAAAATCCAATTCCTGCAACTCGTATATGCAAAAACATGCCGTATATGCCACTGAGCCTGCTTTGTACCAGGGGTTTTGGTAATTCTACACCACCTGTTCACTTATGCCAACCCTTCAAAGGCTGCAGCAATGACACCTAGTGGTCGGTCTTGCCATTATCGGATGCCCGCAGTAGGTCGAAGTTGGGGGGCAGTATCGAAGTCTCCCCCTTTTTTTTTTTAAAGAAATGAAGTTGAAGGTATAGAATTAAGGAATCACTTGTGAATTTTTTTTTTTAATTTTGGACTGATATATTCCATGGGTTGAGAAGTCATGACATAAAACACAGCACCGAAGAGTGCTTAATTGCAGTACGGCACTGCTGCACCTTCAAATGGAAGGCCTTCAATGATTCATCGCCGGAGACATCTATACACTGCTCAATGAAATAAAGAACCACATTACGCTCGCCTTCGCCTTTGGTAGGTCGGCAATCTCATCATCTGCAGGAACTCATCAGTACTTCTTGCGGAAGTAAACTTGAGTTATTGAGCTATTTAATCAGGCGATGTGTGGATCTGTCTGGAGGTGTGTTAGAAGTAATGCCGTTTATCAGCTCTTACGCGTAAAATTGTTTTGCTGAAGTGATACTATTTGACAACGGGTCTATGCATGATGGTACAACCCCCGCACGGGTCCATAGGCACCGCCATCATGGCCCGCACAAAGGCCTAAACGCAACATCGACTGTTTCTTTTTACTTTGTTACGCTGCACCAATCCAAACTGGCTGATGCAATACACGCGCGCGCTTGCGTCAACCTACTCGCGCCCGTATCCCTGAGGCCTAAGAGAGCCTCACTTTGTCTATAGCTCCCAAACCGAATGGTCGTCACAAGAATCAGTGCCTTTTATCGTGTGTACTGTATTAGTCATAATCTGCTACCTGAGTGAGTGCCAATATAATCTGCAACCGTTGTGTTCCACTTAGTGTGTGCTTTACTTCAAGAAGGTGACAACGCCTAATTGAGAGTGTATAGAGACAAAAGTCTTACTGGGGGTTCAGCCGCGCGAGAACAAACCGTGGCGACCCCAAATGAGCGAATTGTGCAAAGTGAAATGGACGAAGTATCCCAAGTCCATCAAGCAATTCCGCATCGTTGTTCGCCCAAAACTATTGCAATAACAACCAGTGGGCACACCTCATGCTACCAGCCATACGATCGTACTGTGCGACCACACAAATCCCACATCTGGGAAACCAAGATGAACTTGTTGCAGCGCTCCAAGCACAAGGCGTACAGCCAATCAATGTGCTCCAAAACACAGCACCCGGACCAGGAGCCAGCCCATCCGCCGCCGAACTTACCGCCAACATCACCGAATTGCTGCTCCAATGCAGGGCGGATTTTCTGAAACAAGCACAAGGAGAGGACTTTGAAGTCTACCTGCGCCGACTGGAAATCGCATTCAGTCATGACGGTATGTCCAATAACACAAAAATTGACTGCCTGATTGGGCACACGACGCCTACAGTTGCGGCAGCAGCCCAATGCCTCTACAACAAAGGATATCACAGCTACGATGACATCGCCGACTGGCTCAAGATACAGTTTGGGCTTTAGCCCTTCAAACATTTTACGAGATTCCTAGCCCTATGGCCCCTGGAAGACGAATCATGGGCACAATTCGGCAATTGGCTACGGTGTGAGTACATCCAATACCTACCACTCAGCGCGAACGACCTACCGGGTCAAGAGAGATCCATCACCGCTGCCCTCATTGGTCAACTACTGGCAATCACCACTGGAGGACTCCACGCCCATCTATACTCCAAGGCGACCGCCAATCGAACCCTCACATGGGTCAATTGTCTCGCGTACGCGGATGAATATCGCCGCATGCACCCCAACACTCCACACGCATTGCCGGCCCCGCAGAACACGCAACAAGGCAACCGCCGACCAAAAACCATGGCGTCAGGAGTACAGAAACATTACTGTGACCACCATCAATGGTACGTCCTCCACACAACCACCGAATGCTCGCTCGGGCAAAACCCAAGGCCCAACACGGCTACGGGCAACCAATCACCACAAAACCTTCAATCCTGTACCTACCACCCAGGTCGCCTTGTTGCACACTCGACAGCAGACTGCCAAAACAACCCGGCCAACCAGGTAAACACACCTAACACGCAGACAGTCCAACCGACTAACTGTGTGCAATGCAGACTTACAGGTCACACGGCGACCAATTGCCCGAACCAGGGAAACGCCAAGATTGGGCAGTGACGGCTGTCCTCTGCTCAATCCCCCAAGATATAGACAACAGCCTAACCATCATCATCGGCATCAAGGACAAACGCGTCACAGTGCTGATCAACACTGGAGCCACCAGGTCATTCATGGCGACCAACGTCGCAGCTGAAGTAGGGCTCACACCCCATCCGACAAAGGCAAAGATCTCCGCAGCCATCTTACACATCTCCGCAGCCATCTTACACATCTCCGCCAACATCAGCCACTTGGTAAGTACCACCTTTTCACTCGGTTCAGCCAACTATTGCGCAACCTTCTTTCTACTCGCAAACGCGAGGTATCCAATAATTCTTGGCCTCAATACGCTAAAAAACCTCCCGTTTTGTGTAACACTCGACGGCCAACGAATTTTTTCTGGGTTTCAAACCATAAAACCCATCAACAAAAGCCCGCAAGCTGAAACCAGCAAAGGCATTACGTTCGTAAACGGCTCTCCCGCCAAACAACAGGCGGTCGCCCACCTACTTGCCAAATACAAGGACAATATCTTCCAATGGTCCGGGAAGCACGGACTGTTCCCCCAACACGTTGCATCCATCCTGACAAATGGCCAAGATCCCGGGCCACCAAGGTGCATCCGACTGTCACCCGACAAAATACCAGCAATGACGGAAATCCTCGCCAACTACACCAAAGCCGGCATCATCGAACCAGCACAGTCCACGGTCAACTCACCGGCTTTTCGCTTTTTCTTGCCCTGCCTTGATGCTCTTCTTCAGGCACATTAGAAATACCTACCCAACAGGAAATTTTATACTTTCCTTTGACCAGGTTTCTCTGCAAACTTGAATCACGGAAGCTTCAGAAGTCCTGAACTGTATCTGTGCTACAGAAGAGGACGTGATCGGCCTCCTTTGCTTGACATATGGTAAAATTATACCTCAATTTGCAATTTTTCATATTAAATTACTCTCGCT